ATAAAATCTCCTCTTAAATATAAACCAGCAGTTGTACTGTCCACCCATGTCAAGCCAGCATACACCTAATCTTGCTATCAAGACCAAAAGCATCTGAACCAACAGGAGCCGGCTGACTGGCAATAAAGTAAGAGTCTTCACTCTGCTGAAGTGGAAAATCTCACTCAGTCTAGCATTATTGCATGTAACTTTGACCTGCTGAGTTACAAATAAAGGTTGAGGGTTTTGATTAATCACCAAGTTACATATTGACAGACCCACCATGCCAGCGACTTGCAGTCATGTGAAAAGGAGACTTTTCACTGCAGTCCTTTGAAAACTCAAGTCCACCCTTACTCACTCCATCGGAATTAAAGGGGTCAGTAACTGATCATCAGCAAGTGTGAGCACCTCTATGAAAGCAGCTATTTTGGCATTTTACAGTTTATTACGAGTGTACATCCCAGGAACTTCATCTCAAGGTCAGACACTGAGCAGTACAGTACGTCAAAAGCAATTTCAAAGCATGGTAGTGGAGGGGTGATGGTTTGGGTTCATTTTAAAGCTGCAGGACCTCCTGAGCACCTTACAGTCATTGAGTCAAGTCCTCTGTATGCCAAACTGTTTGTCCACTGTCCCAGCTGTCATAGGGGAATCCGTCGCAGGGCTAACACATTAAGACAACCATTCACACTCGCATTCACACCTACGGCCCATTTAGAATCACCAGTTAACATTGCCCATTGGTTCTCTTTGGACTGTGGGAGGAAGCCATAACCCACAGAAACACAGCAGAAAATGCAGACTCTGCACAAAATGCAAACTCAGGACCTTCTTGCTTGCAAAAGCGCTAACCACAGAAGACTGTGCCACTCTAGTATTCTAGTCAAATCTGAAGCCATCTGTTTGACAGCTAAAGCTTGGCTGAAATTGGGTCATGTAACAGGCCAGTGATCTCAAGTACAGCAGAGAACAGAATGGCTGAAAAAGAAAAGAATCAAGGTGTCCAAGTCCAGATCCTCAACCTAGTGCTGAAATGTCGAGGTGGGACCGAAAGCTGTGCATAAACAAATGTTTACATACCTCACTGAACTGAATAGTAAGCCAAAATTCCTCCCCAGCGATGTTAGAGACTGATAAAGTCACACAGAAAATAATTTCATTGAAATATTGCTGCTGAAGTTGGTTTTGGAAGCTATTGAATCATTGGTTATATTTAGTTTGTCCCAAGTACTAAACAGACTTCTGTGAAAAGATTTTTCCCACTTACATGTATATTATTAGAATATCTGCCAATAACTGGGCTGCAATCAGAAGTAAAAATATGATTTAAAAAAAGATTTATTTATTTATATCTTTTGCCTTCCTTACATGAGTGATCGCAACAGCAGATATCAGTGGACCAAACTGCTGCATCACCACAGTAACAAATCTCTGAGTTTGTTTTAAGCAGCTGTTATGCTTCTTATTCTTGTTCTTCTGTAAACAATGGAAGTCTGCATAGTTTCGTGGGATTTAGCGCCTCCTGAGGTAGCATTTTGTACTTTTGGTGAAACTCAGGCTAACCGTTTCCCCTGTTTCCAGTGAGATTTTAGATTTTCCTTTATTTTTTGTTAATAAATCAACTGTATTTGTTCTGTGTAACATCCATAGATGTGTTGCTTTTGATTTTCAGTAAAAACAAAGTAAAGAAACCCGGTTGTGGCTAGCGCTAGGCTAGGCTCATCAGAGCCCTTGACTAAATCAGAGTCCTATCAGTGGGAGTTTGGAATAGTTCTGACAAGTGCTTAGTGGGCAGTTGGATTGTGTGCTGATAACATTACAGACTTGTTTTTTGTTTTTTTTATTTATTACCTTGTAAAAATGCATCTCAAACTTCCACGCTGTGCTATATCTCTATGGTGAAGCTAGCATATGTTGCTAAAGATCTGCATTATCAGGATCATTGGAGTGAACGGAGATGACGCGACTCTTCCATTCATCGACTCTGGGCTCCATGTGCTGTGTTAATGGTAGTTGCTTGGTTACCAAGGAAACAGGAGAGTGATGAGATATGGCACAACACGTGTCTTGGCAGCAGTGCCCGCTATAATACCAAAAGTTGACTATTGTAGATTTGAATGAGAAATATGATCTGTGGTGAGAAGACTAAGTTTAGTTTCAAACTGCTACTTTTAATTTTGTGTATAAGCAGGACAGAAATCCCAAGGAAGATTAATGGTAAAGGGCTAATGAGGAGCTTGCATCTGCTTTCAGATATAAGCAGATATATATTTTGCTACTTTAGACCAGTTAGTGAGAAAAACAAAGAAAATATGTTAAAGTTGATGTCCAACACTGTGCTTGGGTAAAAATACAGCCTTGTGTTAGTGAGAGTGAGGAAGACATCAATCAAAGGCCATTTCAACCTCTTTCATATCTCTCCCAACCACTCACTTTGAAACACCAGAAACAAATCCAGCACCAGAGAGAGAGAGAGGGAGTTATAGAGTGATAGGAGCTAGGCAGAGCAAGAGTGAGGGAGTGAGAGAGCTTTTTCTATTTATAACCTGTGTGCCCGGAGAGGAGGGAGATGGTTGTTCGAAAGCACACTCGCGCATGATTTTGTTCCGCAGTGCACAGGCTGCTGCTTAAAACACACAGGAACATACAGCAAACACTGCACATGTCAAACAAATTATATACCACGCTAGTGATGAGACGGGTCATCACTGGGAAATTTAATGGCTGTTTGGTATGCCGAGAGGAGGTACATGATTGGTCCAGTAATCATCCATAGGAACTGTACTGCCCCCCCACCCCCCTATCACACACGCACGCGCCATATATGGAAAGCATTTTTGTGTTCTTAAAGCTGGTGTGTGTGTGTGTGTGTGTGTGTGTGTGTGTGTGTGTGTGTGTGTACAGAGACACATTTTAACTCACACACTCACAGTTCAGCATTATTTTATGTAGCTAAAGCAACAACTCCTCCTCGCTCCTCACTTACACAACCTGCAGACCAAAACATTCCCACTGAGATTTATCTGTTTCACAACATCCACGCAGAGGGAGTAAAACATCAACAGTGTTTTAACACTGATTATAGTGGTCTGCGTAAGGAAAACTTGTAATGAAGATTTTTTTTTTTAAGAAAATCTTTTTCAGTGGAGATTTTAGTTGCTTTCATTTTTCAGTTTCATTCCAACTAAGAAGTTCATCGCCTGTTCTACATCTCAGCTGGAATTTCTTTTTAAATATGTTTTTTTTTTCTTGGTTTTTTTGGTTGTTTTTTTTGGGGTTTTTTTTTTACCTTTTTGTTCATCTCAACCCAATTTAAAGTGTAGTTTGATTTCATGTGTGTACAGAACACATGAATACAGGTGTAGTAGGCTCAGTGATTTATTGAAACATGTAGGCGTGACACGGGAATGCAACATATAGATAAAAACTGACTTTGCACAGTCAGTCAGGGGACGACCGTGGTTCAGGGGGTTGGGAAGCTCATTGTAACTGGAAGGTTGCCGGTTCGATCCCCTGCTCGCTCTGTCTTGGTCGTTGTGTCCTTGGACAAGACACTTCACCTACTGGTGATGGCCAGAGGGGCTTCTGTCAGTCTGCCCCAGCTGTGGCTACAACTGTAACTTGCCAGTGTGTGAATGTGAGAGTGAATGAATAGTTTAATTGTAAAGTGTTTTGAGGGTCTCAAAAAGCGCTATATAAAATGCAATCCATTATTATTCTAACTTTATGGTTCAACACAGCCTTAGGAAGCTGTCTTGTAGTCTTCAGGAATAGTTCTCTAGGCTTCTTGAAGGACATTCAAAGCTCTTCTTTGGATGTTGGCCTTTTTTTTCCTGTTCTCAGTTCAGATGATCTTCAATAAAGTCGAGGTCCGGACTCTGAGGAGGCCAATCCATGATCGTTCTTTAAACCAAGTGCAGATGTATCCCACATGTCCCTTGTCAGGTCGTTGCTGAATGTTTGTATTTCTTAACAACAACATTCAGATCAGTTTTCTCAAATATATAGAACGTACTGCACTGAGAGATGCCATCCTCAGAAGCACAACATAAAGAAACGAGACTTTTGCACAGTACTGAATATAATACTTAAATGTCTGTAACTCCCATACCACATTTTTTATGACCCACGGGGCTTTTATCTTGCCAAACGAAAGACTTGAAGGTAGTGTCAAAGGTGAGCTCCCAAAGATGTGAGAGCATAAATATTAGTGCAAACAGAAGGACCTGAGAAACTGTCACGTTTGGAGTTTCACTACGACCTCTGTGGCTGCTATTTTTTGTGTAGTTGCAGTTTAAAATGTAATAACCCTAAAATGATAATTTGCTATTTTTACATTTCCATCTGAAATCATCAAACGAACATGTTCAAACATATTAATGAATTTTTCACAGGGATGATAGAATATATAAACTTTTTTTTAAACCCCTGAACTGCCTCTGGTTCGATGGGATACCCATCTGTGCCAAGAGAAACTAACTGTCGGTGTCTGTCTTTCACTTTATGACAGAAGATATTTAAGCAAGTTTCTTAAGAAGCTGAAACATCGTTAAAGTCCAAATGCAAAACAGGGCTCGGTTTGAACCCTCGTGACTCGTAGTTTCATGTTGACCTCCTACACAAATCCAGCTCAAACTTTTCTCGAGCTCGCACCTGTGGGTGGGCCTATAAATAGCACGCACACATTTTCTCCTTCGTTTTCACCTTAGTGTGAGGTTTGGTTTTGGCGTCCAGGTGTTTCTCAGTTAGTCATTTCATGCGTGCGAGCCCTGCCTGATAATGCAGATGTTTATGAAGGAGAGCCCCTCTGCTACACAGCTGTGCACATATTTCCTCACCTGCTTCATGTATGGGGCGTGTTATTTGTTCAGACGTTGTTTTTTTATTATATTTATGTCTGAGGGTTAAAAAGTAGATGCATGTAATGTGAGAAAGCAGGCACGATTAATTCAGGTTTATATGTAATGTCCTCAACTATTAAACATGTCCTTTCCCGCTTTCTCTCTGTCTCTCTGCAGCGTCAGACAACAGCCAGCGGTTTCAGGAGACATGTTTCGCCTTCGCTTTAACGCCGCAGCAAGTTCAGCAGATCAGCAGCTCAATGTAAAATTTAACGCCGCTCCGTCAACGCAGGATGCTGAATTGTTCATGAATAATTCAGAAATGTACAGGGTTTGCGCGGCTGCGCATTGATAAATGTGTTTCTGCTCTCAAAGGGACATCTCGGGGACCAAATGTGACTTCTCAGTTCAGGTTCAGTTGCGGTTTTGCCTGTCGGAGACCAGCTGTCCTCAGGAAGACCATTTCCCCCCCAATCTGTGTGTGAAAGTAAACGGGAAGCCGTGCAACCTGCCGGTGAGAAGCGCTCAGCCGTTTAATAAAGAATGTTAGAATGCCACCTGGAAAACGACATTAATGATATTCGCTTCTCATTTCTAGGGTTATCTTCCTCCAACCAAAAACGGTGTCGAGCCCAAGCGGCCCAGCCGCCCAATCAACATTACCTCACTGGTCAGATTGTCCACCACAGTCCCCAATACCATCGTGGTGTCGTGGACCGCTGAGATCGGAAGGGTAGGAGCCAAAGCTTTTTGCAGTGTGTGTGAATAACTGACACTTTAGATGCGTAATGACTGAATTTAAACATTTGCTGGTTACAGCTGCTCAAATACGAAGGCTTACTTTTTGCTTTTCTCAGCTTTGGTGTCGTTCTGAAGTTGAAAGCAGATATCTGACTTCCTGCAGCTCCCCCACCCTCGTCTAAGCCTCTCCCATCAGACAAACACGTAAACAAGCTTAATACAAATAAGACGAAGCTAATTCTGGCTTTACAAAGAAATGACATAGAAATATTATGTGTGAATGTCTTGTGTTCAACTCATTGCACTCTTGCTCCTTTACTTCCTCTGCAGACTTTTTCACTCCTTATACTTCCAAGCACTTGAATCACAATATAGTCTTTTTTTATTTTTAGTAACACAACATAAGGGACTAGAGACAAGTTATGGTTTGACTTTTTTTTTAATGGCATCATGATCATTAAAAAAATTAAATAAATTCTATTGTGTGCTCTATCCAGATACAACACGGTTAATAAATCTGGTGTTGGAGCTGATCCGCAGGTGTTATTAATGTGAATTTTCTGTCTTAAATAGAGGTCCTGAAAATCTGCATTAATCTTGATTAATGTATGTCCCCATTTATGCAACGAGGTGCTGCCGCATGCCTCAGTGTATGATCACATCACACGGTGTTCTTAACTTACTGTGTTCACATAGATGACAGACAAAAAAAGAAGAAGAAGCAGAGAAGAGCCTATTTAAAAAAAGACTTAAAGAATACTTTGATTATATAAAGAGGCTTTCAAATTGGTGCGAAGCCCAGGAAGGGGCACAGTGTTCCCTTTTTACAGCCAAACGTTGTAAAAGAAAACCAAAATTGGATAAAAACTACAACTTCAGGGGAAGATTTCCCTTTAAAATACATGGATTCAGAGGCGTTTGATGAAGGATTTCAGGATAAACGCGTCATAAATGTGATTAAGAAAATTCTGTCTTTATATTTGCTGGCTTTTATCGAGGTGGGTGGAGCTCGACGTTCCGCAGACGGACAGTAGAGGGCGGTAAAGGAAAGGTCTGAGAACAGAAGAGCTTGCTGACTGTTGCACAACTTACATTAGTGTCACAGCAGATGGATCGATTTCACTGAGACTGTGGAGGCAAACATTGAAAGTTATACTGAGTAACATGTTCAAGGACGTGCTGTCACTCTCTGTCGTGTCTTCCCGTGTGTTCAGAGTTACTCGATGGCGGTGTACTTGGTGAAGCAGCAGTCGTCCACAGTGCTGTTACAGAGACTGCGAGCTAAAGGCATCAGAAACCCAGACCACTCCAGAGCACTCAGTAAGGACCTCTTGTTAAAAGAAGCACCTATCCAGTGTATCAGCTAATGCTGTTCTTCTGTTTCCACTGTAATTTAATGTATCAAAGGCTGAATTTGTGGTGTGGGACAGGGCAAAAGGCTTTAAGACTGAACTCTTGTTTTGAAATGTTTTCATCCAGTCAGATGGGAGCTGTCTGTATATTTCTTGCATGCTGTTTTGCAAGTTGCATAAAAAGATTTAGGTGCAGTCAGGCAGGGATTCAGGAGGCTCATCTGGTAGGAGAAGTCAGGACTTTGGTTCTGACACTGACACGTGTTTGTCCTTCTCCTCTACCCTGCAGTAAAAGAGAAGCTAACAGCTGACCCAGACAGCGAAATAGCCACAACCAGCCTTCGAGTGTCGCTCCTCTGCCCGGTAAACATGCTCCCTGCTCCTCATGAATTTAAGGCCCTTCTTCGAGGTTCAGTCATGCCCAAACACGTTGCTCCACTTTTTACTTTTCTTTTTCCTCTCATTTTACTTTGTATGTGACTCGACATGCCCTCGCACATAACTTATGTATGTGAACATGAACCACCTGTCTTATTGTCTTCTGGCCCCTATCCTGTTTTGCTATATGGGTTTGTTGTGTTTGTGACATTTGTGTGTCACTTATACTTCCTTCGTGGCCTGACTACGTATGTGCTCACCGCGCAGCTGGGGAAGATGCGGCTGATGATCCCGTGCCGGGCGCTGACATGTTCCCACCTGCAGTGCTTCGACGCCACACTTTACATCCAAATGAATGAGAAGAAGCCCACCTGGGTGTGTCCCGTCTGCGACAAGAAGGCGCCGTACGAGCATCTCATCATTGATGGGTAGGTCGCTGTGGCCTGCCGGTGACCTTTGATCAAATAGTGCCAAGAGTGGTCCTCTTCTAAATACCGTGGTTGTAACAAATGCTTATTTCAGTTATTGTTGCCTTTCTATCAGCTCAAAGCAGCCCGGCCGTTCTCCTCTGATCGCTGACATCAATGGGTTGTTTTTGCAGAGAGAACTGGATATTGGATTTTTTTCTCTCTTTGGTTTTTTTCAGGCAATTTTCTGTAAACTTTAGAGATGATTATAGAGGAAAATCCCAGCAGACCAGCAGTTTGTGAAACGCTCAGACCAGCCTGTCTGACACTAACAGCAATGCCACGTTCAAAGTCACTTAAATCACTTTTCTTCCTCATTCTGATGCGTCGTTTTGAAATTCAGCAGGTCGTCTTGTCCCTGTCTACATTCCAAAAATCCACTGAGTTGGTCCCGTGTGATTGGCCAATTAGAAATGTGTGTTAACAATCAGTTGAACAGGTGTACCTAATAAAGTGGCTGATCAGTGTACGTGCCACACTATATTTTTTGCAGCAAAAAACAGCCTTTGTGTTTAAAGTCCCAGAACACTGTAACAATTTACCTCATCTCTCCTTTTCTTGTTGTTGTTTGTTTGTTGTTGCTCTGTGGAGCATTGTATTGTTTTCTTTATTTACTCTGTTACTCAATGCTTGCTATGTGGTTCTTCTTCATATATATATATGATGGGATACAAATAAAATGATACAGCATAAGGGATTTACTCTAATAAATGTAGTGGGGGGGGTTTATCTTCCAAACACTTGCTCAATATAAAAGAACTGTTTGTGGAATGATTTTTAGAGAGAAACTGTAAAGTGGATGTGAAGTCTTTTTCTCTTGGTTGCTGTATGACATGTATGTTTGTTCTCAGGCTTTTTGTAGAGATCCTCAATAGCTGCACGGACTGTGATGAGATCCAGTTTAAGGAGGATGGCAGCTGGGCCCCCATGAGGTCTAAGAAGGAGGTGCAGGAGGTGTCCTCTGCTTCGTATAACAATGGGCTGGATGGTGAGATGAGGGATAAACAAGGAGGGAGGGAAGGGGAATGCTAGCCTGAAAGCCTGCCTTTAGTGATCCCAGCTTTAATTAGGCGAGGCATCTGTTGGGAGAAGTTGTGTTGTTGTTTTTTTTTAACTGTTCAGTCTCTGAAAAGCAAAAACATTTGCACAAACTGATACATCACCGCTGCTCTACAGGCTCATGCCGGACCGCCGCAGGCTCAGATCAGCGGAGCTCCTCGGCATCCAGCCACGGAGGCAGCGACAGCAGCAACGGCAAGAAAGTGGAAGTGATCGACTTGACACTGGACAGCTCCTCAGACGATGAAGGACCGGATTCGCCTCCGCCGCCGCCCCCAACGCTGCCTCCTCCTATCAAAAGAGCGTGCCCTTCGATGTCCCCGACCTCGCCACCCATCATCAACAAAGGGTGAGGCGAGCACACACCCTAGATGCTGATTTAATCTCCGCAGGCAGGTTGAATTTGATTAAATGTGAAATTGATGCTCGTTTTAGCCGCTCGCGTGGGCAGTTTTGTCTCTGCTTAAATGATTCATGAGCACAGCATCTTCTTGACATTTCACATCGGCACTCGCAGTCGGTGCCCGAGCGTGTCGACGAAACATTTGCGTCTGATGACCCGATTGACTTTCCATAACTCGCCTCGCTTGCCTTTTTTGCAAACAGGAATCAAAGTTCAGCCAATCATAGTTTGTCGCAAAATTTCAAAACTGCCAACAAACAGACCCGACTGAAGTCTTGAATCCAGCTTTAGTATGGCTATGAAATTTAAACAGCTGCCTTTTCTACCAATCCAAAATTCATTAGGTGCATCTCCTGCTCCCATTTCTCTTTAATGAATCCTGTGAGTGTTACTTTTCTAATTGAAGGTGACAGGACGGCCCTGTGGTTTATCCCAGTACACGTGACACATCATAAAAGCCTTATTAGAAGTTACGTGGCTTCTTTAGTTCTTTATCTCTTCGTCTTCTTCCTCTGTGTTTGCCTTTAGCGTGTTGAACCTGCACCATCAGGCCTCTCCTGTGAGCCGTACCCCCAGCATGCCCGGGATAGACACCAGCTACATCCCTCCTGTCCCCCCTCTCATCCAGGACTACAGGCCCTACTACCACACCCCCAATGACCTTTCAGGTAATGACACACATACAGGATGCTTTGCAAGTATTCATGAATACATGTGCATTAGTAAAGATACTGTTGTGTACAGTGCATTTATGTAAACCTAACTATAACCTATATCATTCACAGTGTGTAGCCAAATTTTGTTAAAATTGTGCTAACTTTATGTAAAATTCTGCCAAAGAGCCACACTGTTCTAACATAACAAAAGTATTGTGCAAAAGTCTTGAGTCACCTCTCATTTCTTCCTGTTTATCTTCCAGTGAGCCACGCTTTGTTGTCATTTTTCAAAGTGCAGCAGTTCTCCAGGCTTTCTGAAGGTCTTTGGCTCATCGTGGCTCATTCAGTAGAAGTAATAATTAATAATAAATGCTCCTAACTCAAGAGAAGAAGCAGTGTTGTGTTTACACATAACAGACAATTTAGCAACGCATTTTAAATTCTATCTTTAGCACTTTGTTAGTAGTAGCCTGACACAAAAGTTTGCCATTTTCATACTTTCTTTAGTTGAATCAGATGAAAAATGCCAGAGCTAACACAGTTTGACAGATATAAAATAGTATTTTTGCTCTAACACAGTGATTCCTAAAGAGCTATTAGTTAACTGATCTCAGTGTAGTGTGCAATGTGTCCTTAAAAACACTGAAGAAACTGCATAAGTGGAGGACAAAAGAAGTGATAAGACCAAAAAATGTCAGGCTTAAAAAAAAACAAACAAACTGTAGCCTCGCTTTGATTAATGCAGAAAAGACATTGATTCATTATGCAATAACATGTGGAAAGCGTCTCATTTACAACAACTTCATGCTGAAAATGATCCCAAACATTACAAATGCATTAAAAGGACAAACTTTCATACTGCGATGGATGTTCGGAGAGTAACTTGGGTCAACCTGTCTTGCCCAGTGATATTTGGCATGCAGACTGGAGCAGCCAGGGATCAAACCACCAACAGAATAGTAGATAACCTGCTCTACTTCCTGAGCTACAGCCACCCCAAAGCTTACAGCAGCTGGTATTCCCAGACGGTCTTTCATCCAAGTGCTAACCATCCCCTACCCTGCTTAGCTTCTGACTTCAGCCGAGACTGGGCATGCTCAGGGTGCTATGGTCATAAACTCTAACAATAACAGCACTGTATTTTCATGTATGATTGCAGGTGTTTCAATATATTGTTGTGCCTATTTCCCATTTTTCTGACAAGGAGGTGGCTCAAGACTTTTGCACAGTAAATTCTGAAAGAAAACACAATGGAAAAGGCAAAAAGCTTAAAATTGCAACTGAACTTAACTCTTTAACTTTTAATGAATCGACCTTGCCTATTTCACAGATTTGTGCCTCTCTGTGCTTCTGACTTCTCTTAACTTTAAAAAAAACAAAAACCCCATACAATATGTATTTGCATTTGTGATATTCATCACTGACTTTTTCTCTACTTCATTTCCAGAGTTGAATTTTTTCTCTTTTCTTCAAGGGGACAATCATCCGGTACGTACAGCAGTGTTTGATATTGTGTAAACGTGGCTGAATTTAGCAGCTGAAACACTTTGTTGTTTTCAGTAAAATCCTGGAAGCCTGTGAGAACAAAATGTTCAAAACGTGCTTATGGAAAAAAAGAAAGCACAAGCTTTGTTTTTAGCCCTCCTCAGAAACAAGCTGCCCTCTTTGTGTTATTTCTCATAAAATGTGTCTGTTACCAAGTGTTCTTATTTCTTCTGCCTCTGGGCTGTAGTCTGTACTGGTTATTTAAGGAGAGATGAAGGTTTGCCAAATGAGAGTGTCTTGCATAGCTTCAGTAGTGCAATATCCAGCTGTTATCTGCATCTGGGATTTCTTCTGCCAGTGAGGATGAATGGGATGCCATATGTGTCTAAAATAGTATTAAAATTCAACAGCAACTGCACATCAAGAGTCAGTATTGCTTTGCATGAATCCACAGACTTCACAGTGAGGAGTTTTTGTTGGAGAGCAGTTTCGTTGCTTCCTGAAAGTTTTAAATACACCTGTGCTCCAGTGGTCACCTGTAATGACT